TACAGGCTTTGTTAGTCACGTGCATGTACCAGGTAGTGCCTGGTATGTTAGTACTTTGGGTTTTCTTCAGCAATGAGTGTTCCACTGTCCTGAGACTGAGCTTATTGCAGACAACTGCCCAGCAGTGGAATGGTGAATTAACTTTCCAGTGCATGTAATACTGCATCATTACATACCCTGTGTCATTGCATTAGTCTGATCATGTAGTCAGGGACGCCATTTAAACATTTCGGTAGGAAAATGGTGGCTTTGACTCTACCATGAATCCTTCCCTTTCTCCCGTAAAGACAAACCGTTATTACTATTTTTCTTCAATGGAAAACTAAAGAAAAAACATCCTACAACTCTCTTGCTAAGCAACTACATGTATTTTCCCTGGTATACCAGACAACACGCCAGACAAAAATCCTTGTAACTGCTATTCTGGTTCTTGTCTTTGAACCCAGGAGTTCTCACAAAGTCATCTTTACATCCTGTTTCTTATGAGATGAGTGTCTTTATGTCAGGAGAAGTTGTAGGACTATGAAGTAGTTTAAGGATGTTGGTAAATATCTGTTGTACATTATTTTGAAAAGGGTGTGGGTTTTGGTTTGGCTTTGTGTTTCGTGAAAAGCTACGCTTATTGTGGCTTACGGGATAAGCACAGTTCTCTGTGTATCAAAGTGTTGTGTTCTCTGTTGTCAGGATATCAACATAGAAAAACGTAGGAAAAGCTCTCGCCGTGTCAGCTTTGCGAACACCATAAAGTAAGTTTGAGCTGAAGGATGCGGATCTGCATCCTTTATTTAAGCATAAAAGGAGGCTGTAGGTAATAATCTGGTATCCCCTAGAACGGCTGTTTGCACGTTTGTGAGTATTCTGTGAAGGCAAACCAGTGGCTGTTGTTATACTGAGTTGATTTGGAGCCCTAAGAGAGCCATTATTCATTTTCTCTTCCTAGCTAGAAAAAAAAACCCAAACCCAGAGTTCAGTGAATTTAATATAATGAGGAATTTTTGTTTCTTATTAATTTTTTTAATGATTTCCGTATTAAGTATGATAATGGCATCTTCCTGCTGGAAAATACGGTTGGGTTCAGTAAGCTTCCAGCTTTTGATATCTCATTTCAGAACATATCAGGTGGAAAAGATTGTCCTTAGGACTGGTTTGGGTTTTTTACTTTTTTTTTTTTTTTTTATTTGCTTCAAAACAGATTGTCTTGTATTTTTCAAAAACTGAGTTGTTTCGGTTTTTTTCTTAGCTGCAGAGTCTTCCAGCGAGATCTTAAGAATAACACGGCAGAGGGAGAAAGTACAGGTAAAACTCCTTTCCCTCTTACTGATCGGATTTGCAGACTGTTAGCAACAAGATTTTAGCTCAAATGGAAGAAGTCAGGCCTGTCAGTCACGGGTGAGGAACAATATGGTCAGCAGTTTATCATGGAGTGGCTGAAAACCCGTTAGTTACTGGTGCTGTGGACCTTGTGGCTCAGAAAAGGAATGGTTTTCTTAGACAAAATGCACCTAGAACAAAATCTGCCTTGGGGATTTAGATCAAAAGAAGGCTGAGCAGAATGTCCTGTTCGCTCTGTCAAGGATTACCTAGGAAGGATGTGAAAAGCTAATGTGTTTTCGAGTACTTTGCTTCCCTGGGTTTTTGCCACAATAAGAAGGCACATCAAGAGTGAGAACTCCAGAACATTCTTTTCTGTGCAGTTTACTCTTGCCTCCAAATGTTTTGATCATGCTTCTCATTGCAATGTTTAATTTTCTTCCTATTTTTAGAGTGTGCAGCGGGTACGAGGAATGATGTCCTGCTTAATCAGTAAGTTTGAATAAAATTCCCATGACTATAGAGTTCTGTCCTGCAAACACGTTTCTTCAAATGACGTGCAGCCATCAAAATGTTACTCCTCAAAGATATCCAGCATTTAGATATAAAATTGGTCAGTGCTTTTGATTGGTGAAAGAAGAGATACAGCGAAAAAAGTATATAACTCTGTTGGTCACTCACAAAAGGGTAGCAGTTTGTAAGAAATTGAACAATTTGTGCCTTCAAACTGCTTCCTTCCAAAGCTGATTGCTTGGGAATGTCCTCCAGGAAAGACCTACCAGATTCCATATCTGACAGACATAGTCTTCGATATAAATTACCATCACTTTTTCCCTCAGAGGTAGATAAAGTGTTAGTCTGGCCTCAAAGTTCTCGTCTAGATAAAACATGATGATGGGATTTTTAAAATTAAAATTAAAATGACCTGGTAAGTAAAGGATTTAGCCAGTTCCTATGTGTGAAAGGGGATTTCTTACATTTAAATGTATAGCAAGGAAACAGCTTGTGTTCAACTGTAGTTAACTCATGCTTTTAAAGGTACCAACCCAGTATAGTAACATATATATGCGTGTGTGCGTATGTGTGAGCACATATATATAAAAATAAAAATCAGTACTCTAGCTAAGGTTTCTTGGTCTTGAAAGAGCAATAAATAGAACAGTGGAGAGAGCAGAAGGCATTAAAAATCAGATGGAAAACTGCACAAGCTGGTGGCTGTATCTGGCTTTTTGTTTTACAGAGATATGATTTCAGGCTTTAGCAACAGAGCTTCCGTTTCCCAGAGAGAAGGGAATAACTGACAGTGGAAAGTCTGAGTTAAAAAAGAAAATGGAATTGATCTTTTCTCTTTTTTCACTTGTCACTGAGGAATTAAAATGCCATCTGTGTGTTGAACAATGGCTTGTGGCATGTTAAGATGAGAGAATCTCCTGGGAAAATCAGGTTGCAACTCAAATTAGAATCTCTTGAAGACACACAAGTAGTGTCTGGTACCTGCTGCCCTGTCCCATATGAGCTATGCAACAGGATTCTCTGCCTTTTCACTACATTGCTGAAGCCTCCTCTCTTGAAATCTTTTAACAAACTATCTACCTAAACTACCTTTTGTAGAAATGAAGAACCTGAAGCTGCTCCGTGTGAGATCACTGGTGAGTTTGGAAATAGATTTAATAACAAAGTGACTGTCTCTGTTCTAACGTTCCTAGAACAATCTCCCTGGCTGAAACAACTACTGCATGCATGGGCTTTGTCCCATAAAGCTGTTACAAGCGTTGTGTTGCAGAAGGATGAGTACCTCTTCCACATGCTGAAAGGAGTACTGAAAATATTTTTCAGGATGTGTTTGGGTTTAATTGCGCTTGCTTAGTGGTATTTGTAAAAGGAGTGCATAAACCTTCAGCTCAGTGGATAAAATAATAAGAAAACAGCACAACAAATGAAGTCTTTTCTTTTCTTTCAACAGGGATGAACACTTTGCTTCACGCCCCTATCCAGGCAGTGGTGCAGCAGACTGAGGTGTGTGAAGGCTTTTATTTTTTTGGTGCTGAAAATATCAGTGTCTAAAATATATTCCAGTCATTTGTGTAGTAAAGATGGAAAGCGTAACTTGACTGCCTGAAAAATAAATCCTTGTATTCACATAAAATTCTCCTGAAAGCAAATCTGTGTTTTGAAGTATTTCCCTAATCTGATAGGCATTATAGCTCAGTATTGATAACTCTTGCTTCGTGAATCCCTTGCTAACTTTTCCATACCTGAGCTAGTTCCTCTGTTCTTTTCACTTCTTGTCTAAGGATGTGCAAAGGAGCTTATGCTTCAGATAGGTCTGGTTACGTATTTTTCTCTCATGTATTGCTCTCTGCTTGTGTGTTTTTTCATCTGTGGGCAGAATGGATATTCACAAACGTACTCTGCTCCTGCTGTTAAAAAGCTTTAGAAAAATTGCAGTGATTAGCATGAAAAGGTAGCTGAATTTCCTCAGCTGAATCAAGTGATAAAACACGAAATTCTTAAGACCTTCACAGACACAACTGCAACAGAAATCCTGAACTGTGTTGCACTTCAGTGAGGATGTTATGGCACCGTGTCGTTAAACAAAGCGATTGTCGAAACATCCCCCTTACTGCAGTGGCTTCTGACTTCTGAGTTTAAAGATACGGCTTATAAACAGAGCTTAGCTCTTGTTATTCAATGTTAAAAAAAAAACCCACCCAAAACAAAACAGTTAAAATCTGCTGTGGGTGAGATGATGTGCACCGCGAAGCTGTAAAGGTCAGGTTGGAACTCTGTCTCTCCTGGGTTTGGGTAATGTATACAGCTGTGCTGCTTTTAGTAGATTTTATTTCTTGCATTTATAAAATAGCATATGTCATTTGAAGTAAACATGAAGCTGTTTACTTCATGGAAACATCAAGATACTCATTATATTTGATAAAATATACTATTATATCTTGCTACTGGCTGATTTTTTTTCCGCAGCTGTAAAACTGTGAATCCTCTCTATTTCAGAGACTAACATCTCCCTAGTCAGTGGGGGAAAAAGTCTGTTAAAACACCCAACTTTGTGCTGCTGCTTTGCAACACACGCAGGATAGGTTGGGCGAGGTTTTTGCCTGCAGTTGTGGTGGGGCGGGAGGAAGGCAGGAACCAGCTGTAGGGATGTGGAAAATACTGATCCCTAGGACTCGGGGATTGTTCCACGATTACCAGGATATGTCTAGGCAGGAATTCTTAGCCCAACAGTAAAACTGAGACACGTTCTTTCAAAAAAAGCCACTTATCTATGATATGCTGTAATAATTAAGTCAGTGTCCTTTCCATGAAAGGATTGAAATCAATAATTCTTTTTTTTTTTAAAAAAAAGATATAAAGATAGAGCTATAACCTTGGGACTGCCGTAGCTGGCTTTTGTTTTAAATAAAATAAACCATTGTATCATTCATTGTGTCGTTTGTTTTAAGTGTCAGTAATTGTAATTTCTTCCTGTTTTTTTTTTTTCAGTGGCGTGATGCGGACAGCACCATTCAAAGAACAAATAGGCATGATGCCACCGTCATCTTTTCCGATGAAAATGAAATGGATATGACAGCTAGCCACACTGCAGTGATCACACGTAACCTGAGAAACAACCAGGCTGAGGAAACCGAGAAGATAGATATCACGTCGTTTCTGGCTGGGTTAAACTCTAGCAGTGGAAAGGCAGAAACGAGCAAAGAATTTCGTTTTTTCTCTGACCCTACAAACCATTCGTGCCCGTCTTTTGAACAGGAGCAAGATGCTACTACTGTAAAAAAAATAAATTTCAATGAATTTTTGATGAGCTTGAAGTCAAACAAAAAGGCACTCAGTCCTACTGAGGGACCTGAAAAAGAGAATGTGTTTTTTGACCCTTCACAAGTCTCAGGAGACATGGCGCGAGCGCCGGTGGAGTTTGCGTATTCCCATGAGCCACTGGACGCCTGCAATGTAACAAAAGTCTTTGGAGGGCAAGAGGATGGAATGGAAATGACCAGATGCCAGGCACCTGACGGCACAGCCGTGTTTCCTGGTGCTTGTGACGCTCCACCACAGCAGTTACCGTGTGCGGATGTTACCGAGGCGTTTGTAGATGAGGGGATGGACATGACAACTAGTCACACCACAAAGATGTCTTTTCCCGTCTCCACTGTTGGGAATCAAAGCCTGAACTTCAAAAAGGATTTCCCATCCACAGAGTTAGATAATTCGATGTTAAAGAGAGCGTCTAATCAGCACTTCATCGT